ATAGGGTCTCATGATGTTGCCCAGGCTGGTCTTAAACTTCTGGCCTCAAGCAATCCTCCTACCTCAGCCTCCCGAGTTGTTGGGATTCCAGGTGTGAGCCACTGTGCCCAGCTTATCTATTTATGTATTTATTTATTTTTCATGGCACGATTTTGTCATGAATTTTTCAGCTATTTAAATAAACCATAAAAATCATAGATTTCAACTTCTTCATTTTATGATAAGGAAACTGACACTAGAGAGGGTATAGTCACTTGACCAACAACACACAGCACAGCAAGGCCTGGATATCAGGTCTGCTGGTGTTCAGTTTGGATGGAATTCATTTAATAAGCAATTACTAAACTCTGCAATAAAATGAACCTCTACCTAACTAGCCGCATAACTCTAAAATGTTATTTCTCTCTATCCTTTCTAAAAGGAAAGTAAAAACAGAATGAACAAACCATGTGGCATGTCTTCAAACACAGAAATAAGGATCTAACGTAGCCAAGTCCACGATATTCGAAATGATATACACACTTACACATTTTGCTTCTGGAAGACTTGAATCGTTTTTAATGGTAATCTTTTTTGCTTCTTCTAGGTTCTTTTCTCTTCGCAAATTATCTTCTGCCTTTTAACAACAAAGCAAATTGTTAAAGTGGTGTCGGGTGTTCAGACTCTAACAATGTTCACAGTGGCAAATTCATTACTCACTTCTTTCTTTTCCCGGGACTCATTCTTCATTTGTTCCCTATGCCACATTTTTCTAATATTCTTCATCTGTGATTTAGAAATAACATCCCACCTCTAAAGAGATAAACAGATGTTTAATTTTTTCAAGACTTCTATGTCTCGATGAAAATTTATTCACAAAACGTAATTCTGTGAAGTTTTTGGTTCACCCTACCTCATTTTCTTTTTGTGAATCTACGTAAATAGTAGGAAACGGTTCTTTTCCTACTGTCATCAAAGCCTTGGGTAGAGAGGGAGGAAAAAGATATTTCTTTAATGTACAATACTTAAAATCAGGATAACACCTTAATTATGAGGCAACTTCAACAATCCAGAACATCATCAAAAGCCAACTAGAAAGCATGAAAACCTCAACAGCCAAAGACTGACGTCGGCAGCGACTGGTTGAATATACTAAGAAGCACTTTGTTTAAAGTAGAAGCCCTCAGGCCTCTCACAAACAATTCCAGCAAGTTCGGTCCTACAGTGTACGGTTCCTCAGGACAGACTAGAAGTAACACTAGATTTTACGTGGCTGTAGGGACCAGCACAGGTACACTGACAACAAGAGAACAGACACCTAATAGCAAAAGCCAAGTGCAGGTGACATCTAAAAGGTTAGTGTTCTGTAAGAAATCATAGAAGTATGTTAGACATTTTTGAGACTCAATAAAATAATGGTCAAGCACACAAAAAGCAAAGCTTCCATACATGTAGGAATTTTCACCAAACACATCAGGCATTGTTGTGCTATATATCATTTAATCGTTTATATTGTGTTCTTTTTTTTAAATAATTGAAAGTACATAAAAGATGATATTTTATGGCTTCAAACATTCCTTCAAAATCTCTTCCAAGCTATGAAACCAAACAAGAAATGCAATGACTTATTCTCTCGTTGCAAGATCTTAAGCTTACAAAAACTGACCTTTTCTAAAGGGACATTAGTCTCAACTCAATGACTGCTGCAGAGAAGGGAATCTGGATCTTTTGAAAACTCCAAAAGAGTTCATTTTTTTTTTTAACAATTAGGTGTCGTAGGGCTATGTGTAGGTCATTTGGAATTCATTTACTACCTGACAGTCTGCAGTACTGTCATTAATAAATGCAAAGAGATCCCTCCTTTTATATCACTGCAACTGAAAGAACCAAACTGTCATTCGCCAAATCAGAACAGCACACTTTTGCTAACAGAAACATTCTGCTGACATTCACCTAAACGGTATTGTCAGTTTTGGGGAGCATCCAACAACCCAGAAATGAGAGAAAGATTTCCCTTTAAAAGTTAAAAAGCAAAACCCATGTATGACATGCCAAAGCACAATCATATAGTATAACCTAAAAGAGGAGAGAATGCTCCCAGGTTAGGAGGACTTGACAGTAACTAAATAAATGTAACATAGTTAACAAAAGGGGGATTGGCCAAGCATGGATGCACAAAGAAAGGAGTGTCAGGGCACTGCTTTTCCTAGTAAGGCCCAAGGAAGGAACTTTCGGCCGTCTTCCTTATGTGGCAGTTGTAGCCAACACATCCTACCTAGCATTTGAGTTCAAAAGTTAAGTCTATGGGATACTTAAAGAAGGATGTCTTGGGCCACACCTCAACCTGATGCAGTTAGTTACCTAACACCCACGTTCTAGGTCCAAGCTTTAAAAGAACCCATTTGATTTCTATTTGGCTCTCCATATAAGTCTGCTTAGAAAGAATGTGCTCAATTCATTGGAGGATTCTAGGTCCTGAGAAATAGCAACACAGTAATAAATTGGCATTCTGTTAATAGCTTCAAGCTCCAGACTCATATGTCTGCTTTGAGAAATGGGTCCATTCTTGGTGTGCTGATAAAAATCAGGTCTTTGAGTCTTAAGGCTGAGGATTCCACTCTGGATTATGGTAAATCCACCAGAAGGCCTCTTAGCAGTCATCTGACTAAGGAAAGGTGATTTTTATTTTTACAAGAGTTGAAAAACCGGCAATCTGACTCACGATATAGAAAAATTCCAAGATACAATGCCACATGGTAAGGAGGAAAAAAGACACCGTTTTAAAATGTTCAAATAAGTTTAGACTTTGATCATCTAAACAGTTTTAAAGCTACATATCTATATATATTCGTTCCTTTCCCTTTTCTGAAAATATGCTTCAAAATCTAGCGCTTGAAATAAAATTCTTGACAAGTCACACAATAACTGACATTAATTGATTAATAAACGCAGAGTCATTTTCCTAATGAGAAGAGACACTACCTTGAGACCCGTTTTAAATGGTTTCTCCTTGGTTCCATCTCCCGTGGCATCATTTCCCTCTCGATCTGAGACATACAGCTCTGCTGCAAAAATGAGAATAAGTTACTCGTTTGGCCAATAATTATCAATCACCTTTATACTGCAACTACTTTATTCATGCTTTACTTTTGTAAATAGAGCCGGCATTTGAGTAGTAAAAATTAATGAGGTCAATAAGAAATTAATATCCTAATTATTTTCCTATTCCCCCATTTCAATGATATCAATCTCATAAAAACATATTGCAAATTTAGCTTTTCAAAATGAACTCTAATAATTTTAATTTTTTTACTGTTGAGTAATTATTCTATCTACTTGAGTACCCAAAAATAATGCAAGGGCTTTTAAGTTAGCCAAACCTACACTGGAATCTTGGATGTTGTACCTTAAAAGGCATGGTGACCCCGGGGAATTTTCTTAATCATTCTGAGTTTATTTCCTAGTCTATAAAATGAGAAAAACAATCCCCACCTTGAAGAGTTGTACTGAGGATAAAACAAAATAACACATACAAATCAGATATCACAATGCCAGTGCGGAGACGGCAAATAAATACCAAGTTCTCTTTGATCTTTAAAGAAGACTGAAGCTCTGAGGTTGGACAAATTGCAAAGGCCTCACAACTAGTAGGGCTGAACGGTGACATTAATCCAGGTTTCCTAAATCTTTTCTTTTTTCCCTACTGCACAGTAAGGTCTCCCTGGAAATTTCAATAAAAATGAGGCTGAGTGAAAGACAATTAGAATTTTAATGTCCTTTCCTGCCGATCACTTTGAAGAACTGCATATTTGGGAACTACAATACGTCTGAACCCCTCCCAGCGCCTAAGTCTCAGCGCAATCACGGGATTTTTCGCAGTGGGGCAGGGCCGGAGTGGCCGCTGTCGCAGCGTGGGGGCACACAGGGCTCGGGGAAGCCTCAGCCTGGCCCATCTCCTCTCGGGCCCAGCCAGGGGCCAGGTCCCTCATCTCCTCCCTCCCTCCAGTCGGTCCGCAAACATTTGTGGAGCGCCCCCTCTGTGCCTGGCTCTAACATAAGGGTTGGAATTCGGCTGCAACACAGTTTCTAACCCCAGAAAGGGAGCACCGCGCCATACACCGAGCTGACCCACCTAGCACCATCCCTGCGGTCGCTCTGATCACCTCCAAGGACAACGACCACAACACCGACACCGCCTTATCACCCTAACGTGCACCGGAGGCTTCCCAGACTCGAGCGTTGCATCATGCAACGTAGTGCCGAGGTCGCCCTGGTGAGTCAGCCGAGCGTCGGGGCTCCATTGGTTACGGGAGGTGGGCGAGCGGCGCTCGGGCCGCCATCTTTGGTCAGGGCAGAGACAACTTCCGGGTCTGGAGACTCACGGTCCTGCTCCTGACCCCCAAGACCCTCGCACCGCTTCGGTCTTGCACCCTTCGGTCCCCGTCTCCCAAACTTTCTTTTCTGAATTCTCCATTTCTGCCCCAGCTGGAGACGCGGCTGGTCCTCTTGCAAACCAGGCCAAAGATGTCCAGATCCCCAGAGGCTGCCATGCTAGTTGAATTAACGTCATCAGCAAGTGTTTTGAGCGCCGGCAGCGAGAAGCGGGTGAGCGGTGGTGGAGACGGAGAATTGCCCTGTCTCGTACGCAGGAAGAAGCTCTAACTTTCTAACTTCAATGAACGCACGTACCTCTGTGTTTGGGACAAGAACTATGGTATATTATCATTTAATGTTTTAATAATTACTATTAGGGCGGCCGTAATAACGTAGTGGGAAGAAGCAGGGCTTTGGAATACAAACTGGGTGGGGATTCTGGTTCTGCTTTTTACTCACGGTGTGTCTTTAGATAAATTACTGAACCTGAATGAAGTTCAGTTTCCCTGTTTGTGAAAGACGATATAAGTTCACTGCCCAGCTTGTAAGATGTACTAATAAAGGGTAGCTATCATTACTCTTAATTAGTGGAATACCAGAGTTTGTCCTTGAGGCAAAGGAAAACTTTTTTTGTTACAAAAGGCCCACTTTCCAAGTGACTCCATACGTAGCTTCCAGGCCTATCAAGAGTATGAACCAAATACTTTTCCTAAAGAATATTTCACCCAATTTAATGGACTTTCCTTTTCCCTCCGTGCTGAATGTTTTCTGTTTGCCTATGTATTAGTTATTTGTTGCTGCAAAGTAAATTACCCCAAACCTTAGCAGTTTAAAACAAGAGTTTATTACCTCACACAGGTTCTGACAGTCAGGTATAAGGAAGCAGCTCAGATGGGAGTTCTGGCTCAGGGTCCCTCATGAACTTGCTGTGGGCAGGGGCTGCAGTCGTCTGAAGGCTTGACTGGGTGAGGATCTGCTACAGGGTGGCTCACATGGCTGTTGGTGGAAGGCCTCAGTTCCTTCCACAAAGTGGAAGACAGAGTGAGACCCTGTCTCAAAAAATAATAATAATAAAGTAAAATAAGAAGTAACATCCTATCACTTTTGCCATCCATGTTCAGTTCGTTAGAAATGAGTCACGTGGTCCGGCCCACTCTCAGAGGAAGGTATTACATGCGTGAATACTAGGAGGTGGGAATCACGGGGCCGTCTGAGAAAGCTGCCTACCACAGTGACCAAAATTGAAGCCGCAGCACCTTTTATAACCTAATTTGTTAGGTGACATTTCATTATTTCTGCCATATTCTATTGGTCACACAGACCAACCCTGGTACAGCATGGGAGGGAGGGGACCGCACAAGGGGGCGAACCAGGAGATGGAGCTCAGTGTCACCATGTTTGAGGCTGCCCACCACAGCCTGCAGCCAATGGGGACATTTGCAGGACAACAGAGGGAGAGGAGTGAGTTTAGGGTACTTACTCCCCCAGCTGCCTTGTGGCAGGCTGGCTGTACCCTCTTGCCATAGCTCCTGCCAGCTGGCACCAAGGGACTATCATCTGAACTCCCTTTCATGAATTTTATTTTATCTGATTCTTAAAATTGGATGTACACAGAGAACATTACATTATGAAATAAAAAGTATGTACATAGGACTGGGCCCAAGCAGGAAGCTACACAAGAAGGTAGATCTCTACCCCTTCCTCAGTCCACACCTGTAAACTCACAGAATTTCTCTATGTCCATTTCGTGCAGGACGGAAGAAATGGGCCCGGTACTGATGTCTGCATAATGTGCTGGCACATGCCAGAAATGAGCAGCTATTATATTTTAGCCTCACTTGGGCATGGCTCTAAAAAGATAGCAGTGAAAGAAAATCATCTCAGATGGTAGAATTCAGTGGTCTAACCAAGTGCTTTGTGTTAAGTTAGATTATTGGGGGTTTTTTTGCTTGTTTTTTGTCAAAACCATACATAAGAGCATATATTATTACTGAAAATAATTCAGATATGCTCCCCTCTCCTACACAGGAGGAATATACTGCCTTGCTTCATTTATTGTGGGCTTAGCATGTGGATTTTCTTTGACCATAGGATATTAGCAGGTGTGATACAAGCAAAGGTTTAGAATGTGCTTGTATAGTTGAGCTTGTTTTCTTGCTTCTACCGTCACCGTGAGAAGAACATGCCCTGACTGGCCCACTGGTCCAAGGAAGGGGAGAAGACCAGGACCCAATCTACAGTGTGCAGACAAGCCCAACTGAACTAAGCCCCGACCAGTTGGCCCTTTGATGCAGGAGTGAAAAGTAAATGATTGCGTTAGGCCTCCGAGTTTTTGGGGCATTTTGTTACACATCTTTATTGCGGCAATAATAGACTAATACATACGCCATTACCCAGAAGTTTCTGGCTTAAAAGAATAATTGAATGGCCTACAGGGAGTCACTTACGGCACCTTTGAGTGTGCCATGTATACTTTAAACCAGTAGCCAATATAGGGGGCAATCTTCCCCATAGTGGAATGCATGTTATTAATTTTTTCTTGAATATTTGTTGAGTTTAAAGAACTCTCCAGGTACCTCCCTTTCCATGAACTAATTGAGATGTCAGTGACCCACTCTGAGGTCAGTAGGCAGGAATCTTTACTGCTATTTTCCGAAGAAAGACCACGGGATTGGGAAGTGGGAGAAGGAACTACAGCTCCATGGCTACCGCAGACCACCTCTCCCAGCTAGGCTCAGTCTCTGCCCCCACACCCCAATAAAAAATAATGTTGAGGGGGCCACCTCCCCTTGTTCCCGGGGGCATCCTCTCTTCATCTGCCCACCGCAGGCATTGACTCCCCTATAACCGTTGTGTCTGGTAGTGGCCCTTACACGACACCACTAGACTGTAGGTAAGATGCCTTGTTGGCATCTTTGCAGAGCACTTAGCAGAGGCTTGTGCTCAGCACTTGGCAACTCTTAGGCGGACAGGCTCATTTAGTCCGACCTCCCTCCGGAAGCAGAAATTTCCTTGAAGGATTGCTGAAAGGGTTACTTCCAGGAACACTGAAGTTTGTCTGTGCCCCTTATTTAACGAATGGGTGAGTGAATGAATGAACGAATGGCATTGTTCTTCTGTCTCCTCATTCCGACTCTGGCCAGCTGGGGCGCCCTTCTCTTGAGGTCCCCAGTGTTCCGCCTCCGCGCCCACTCAGGTTTGTACTGAAAGTACCGCTGCAGCAGGCGTGGGATGCGCTTCTCTGTACTTACACTGAGGGGGCCCCCACGCGCTACCGTATCCAGCAACCGGCTTGGGTTTAGGGCACTCGACGCCGTCGCCGCCATGTTGTCTCGGGGTCGCTTCCGCGCTTCCTGCACTTGGTCCTGCTCTTCCGGCTCCTTGCCCAAGGTGTCGCACGCACTTCCGGATGTAGGGGGAAGCTGGGTGCTCTTCCGAGTTGCGGGAAAGCTGACTTCCGGGCGCTTTTTCCGAGTATACTCACAGACGTCTTCAAAGAGGCTTCTTGTGCTTTCAGTTTTTTGCTCCTCAAAACAAGCTTCGGAGAAAGAAGAAACAAAGATCACTGCAAGCGCCCCAGGGCTCCTTTCTCTGTCCCCCGACCGGGGACTGGAGAGGAGCCAGCAGTGTTTGCTTAGTTCACGAATCAATGGGGCAATCCGAAACTCTCAGTAATATTTAAAATCGGTTTGTAACTGCCAACTACAAGTGGGAGTTATTACGATGAAACAATATGAGGAACTGAAAACGTAAATTTCGTTTTCCTTGTAGAGTTAGGTTTAAGCGCTTAGGTTTGCTGGTTAATTTGTTCTCTGGAGAACTTTTATTTCAGTGATTCCCAGGCTGCTTTGTGTTCGTGAACTGCTTGCTTGTAAGCCCCTTATTTTTCTCTCTCCCTAAAAAAAATTAAAGTAAAAGTCTTGCTGGGTGCTCAATGTTTAAGGAAGGTGAATAATGATAACTCTTGTGCAGGTAGAGCTCTGAAGCGAGATCCCTGGCCACGGAACACGGAATTCTTATTTTCTTGACCCTGATCAAGTTTCTTAACCTTTCTGAGACCCAGATGTTTCGATTGTAAAGTGACAATAACCCTTCTCTGAAAGGTTATTGGGAGGATAATATGAGATCAAGTATACCAAAATGCCTAGTATGTGCTTATATCCAGTAAGCCTTCTGAATTAGGATATAAATGGCATTAATAGTTAATCAGTTATTCTTTTGTTCCATGATATGCATGAAGCAAACCTTCAAGCCTTAAAACTTCTGAGGGCTGCTGGTGGACCCCTCCTCCCTCTCCAAGCTCCATCCCCCTTGGCTCCCTGGCCAGTCTGTCAGAAGGTGTCAGACTCTGCAGGTCCTTCTTACTGCCCCCAACTCTGGACGAGTGACCTCTCTTGCTCAAGCCATTAAATGGGAGCTCTCTGACAGCTCTCCCTTGAAACCTACAAACTTCTCTGCTTGAATTTCCTTCCGCGACTTGTCTCTCCACATTCCCCACAACTCTCCAATCTAATCTCCACACTCCAGCCAGGTGAACACTTAAAAACATAAACATCATTTCCTTGTCTATCTGGCAACCTCCAGTGGACTTCCTTTTGCTGGCGTCCACCTCAACATCCTTATGGGCTCACCAGGCTATGTACGCTTTAGCCTGTCGTTGCTTTCTAAAGGCACAACTAACTTCAGCCTAGCCTAATTTCTTCATTGAATTGGCCTGGGTACGATGTGGAATTGGGGGTAGCTGTTAACAAAGGTGAAAACAGCATCAAATAGAGAAGAAAATTTTCTCCATAGAGGTGGGGAAACTTTCAAAGCAGAATTAATTGTATCCTCTGAAAGCAACGAAGAAGTCCCCTAGATCGGTTTGAAGAACAATCCTGTATCAGTTTAGCAGGAGTTGAGGCTCTCAGGGGGTCTCAGAGACCCAGCTAATGGTTTCTTAGTTTATCGGTCTTTTTGCTGTTGGAACAGGTCATAAAAGTATTTTCA